TTATATCTATTTAAGAATAAGAATAAGGTCTCTAAACTGCTTTTTTGGTTATTATTATTATTATTATTATTATTTATATAAAATATATTAAATTTTAATGTTGCGTAATACAAAACCAAGATTTTTCAAGCCTTTCTTTTCAAAATTGCTTCAGATATTAACTGAAAATCCAGTATGATGCCTAAATCATAACTTTATTACGTTTTGAATTGTCTAATTTAAAGACAGTCTCAACAGGTCCTTTTTTCTATTTCAACCGGTACTAAATGTTTTCAAAAGTTTAAGACACATAGACTTAAAAGAATGAAGACAGAAATGATATATGATATGAATAAGTCATAATTTCTGTTGTTATTGTTAAATATTTGTGTTTTATTGCTACTCATACGTTGTAACTACTATTAACTTTTAAATGGAAATAAGTCAAAAATCTGTAATGTTAGACGGTGTTTCTATGAAAAATGAAAATTCGTTCAGATTTCTATCATATTTCCACCAGTACTCGACCAACAAAAAGATACGAATACAGTTAGCTATATAATATGGTGAAACTAGCGCCCTCTATTAACAATATTAAGTTTCAAAATCGTAATTGTCATGACAAAAACCTAAAATAAAAAAAAATCACGAATAAAATGAAAACATTAAACGAAAACAGGATGGTCAATCGCAATATTTGTCAAGTGTCCCTAGTTTAGAGATTGCGCATTATTTGTGAATTAAATTTTGGCATATGTTAGAAATTCTTACTTAAATGAGAAATTCTGACTTAAATCTCAGAAAATCTGACTTATGTCAGAAATTATGACTAATTTCAGAAATTCTGACTTAAATAAATTCTGACATGTTTCTCACAAAATTCTGACTTATGTCAGAAATTATGACTTGAAATTTGTACTTATTACTCAAAAATTTGACTAATTACAAGTTAGCGTTATTGACTTATGTCAGAAATTCTGACTTGAAATTTTTACTTATTACTCAAAAATTTGTCTAATTAAAACTTAACTTAAAACTTAGTGTAATGTAGAAAAGATAGTAAGCTAAAGGGATGGTAGGATGAAATTATTTCTAAAATTTCAAAGCATGGTGTTCTATTGGTTTTGAAATGTTAAGCCTAATTCGCTATGAAAGAGTCGCAAATCGCAAAGTGCTGAGGGAAATTCGTTACGATTTTGTATTAACGTTTTGCCATAGTGTTGCTAAGCGCAGATACGTGAAGATAGGGAGGGACCACGTTATTTATCGACGATGCTCTTGAGAGAGAATAATAACCTACGATTATTGTGCGTTAAGTAGGGTAGCTGCTATCATAGACATGTTAGGATGGCCGAATGTTTGTATTATTGTATGTTTACGTTGTAATATCGAGTTTTGATAGTCGGAAATTAATCAAGAGGAGAAAAAGTATTTTTTCATACCTAATTCTAAAAAAATTCAAAACATCTCTAGGGCGCATTTTTCCAAATAATTCTTAAATCTCTCTTTTGGGACGACCCTTTTTATAACAATTTTAACCAAATTAGGGTTAAACTAACCCCTTACTTCGGTCAAATTTGGGACAAGGAAGTGACTGATTGAGATATCTTTCTCTGAAAACACGATTGTATAAAAAACCTTTTTTTTTTACTTCAAAATCATTGGGAGTTTGACGACGTAATTTAGTGATTAATGCAAAATATTGAAATATAATTTCAAAAACAATGTTTTTTTGTATTTCTAAATATTGCGAGCAACACCACTGGCCGTCCCGATTTGCGAAACGCCGCCGCCGCGGCCATTCGCGAGTCCCTTAATTACTTTCAATTAGTTTTATGAACGGCAGCAAATTGTCCGCAATTAAATCCGCCGTCGAAGCCTTTTCCCTGATTAAAAACTCTAAATCTTTCGCGGCTCTCCCGGTCCCTCCTTCCCGTATGACGTCATCCCCACGGCACCGACCTCACCGGGTATTTATGTATAAATAAATATGCATACATACGCTGGCGCTGAGCATTCGAGAAATTTCCAAATTGGAGCTTTTGAAGCCGCGCACCGCCGCGTGAATTGTTATACCTCATTTTTTTTTTGTTTAATCCGGAAAAATAATTGCTCGGTGTTTGAGCTTCGCGCGCCGGTAATTTATTTAATTGTGTCCCTGTTTTTCACGAAGGAGGGGGGCCGGTATACGCCAACCACTAATTCACGTCTATTGGTACGGCTGCAAGTAACATAGTATCTAGGGTTGTAGAATTGACCGGTCAAAACATTTAGAGCTTAATTAGGGTAAAGTTGATGTTGGTTTCTTGTAATACTTGAAACAATCTGTTGACGGGGACAGTATCATATGCTTTGTGAAGGTCAATAAACATAAGGTGTGTTTCCTGATTGGTTGCAGTCTTGCAGTCAGCTCGAAATCCGGACTGTTCCTCTTCTTCCTGTTCTCGATATTCGTGCTGTATTAGATCTCGAAGTTATCATGGCCAATGATATAGTAGAAGATCTAGAGTACATGACGAGAAAATTGCAACAAGAAAATAAGCAATGGGGTTTGGAGATCAACACGCAGAAAACCAAATACCTACCGATTGGCGCAGAATTGTCTACTGTCCAACTAGAAAATGAGGAGATAAAGCCTTGCAGTGAATATACTTACCTGGGAGTGATATTTGATGCAACTGGCAAAGATGACGGGTATATCAAAAAAAGAATAACTCAAACTAGACGAACAGTTGGCTGTGGAAAAGAAACGGAAAATCAATATATATGAGACACTGGTAAAAAGCAGTCTACTATACGGCGCAGAAACGTGAAGGATAACGGAGGCCAATCGAAGAAGACTTGAGGCGGTAGAAATGGACGCCTTTAGAACACTGAGAATTTCTACAAGCGACAGGATCCGCAATGAATAAATTAAACAACGAATAGGAATAGATGACTCGGGCGCGTTCAAACGATGGATGATAGCAGACTTCCGAAGAAAGTAATGGAATGGATACCCCAGAACCGTAGAAAGTGTGGTAGGCCCAAAAAGACATGGAAAGAGGGGATAATCAAAGCGATGAGTGGAAGTGTTGTTGTTTTAAATTGTAATGTAATGATGACTGTCTATTAGTTTAAACTAATCTTTTATCGCTGTGTTTTAAATAATAACGAAAATTTTAATGTTGACACGAACATGCCGGCCACTTGCTTTTGGATTGATAATTTAGAGTTTAAATTAACTGCACATTCTGTAAGTTTCAATAGGTTATTAATTTTAACACTAAAAAAGTTTTGTGGTTTGCTTGCTTAATTTGGGTAATTTTATGTGTCAAAATGTAGTAGAATGTCTTTCCATATACTTTAGTCTTCCTGATGAAACCTACAATCTTGGACGAAAGCTTGAAGCATAAGAATAAGGGCTAGTTGTGAAAAAAGCACCTAAGATATTTTATTGCTTAACTCTAACCTAAAAAAAGGGGTATCTCAGTGTATAATATATACCAGGATTGTATATATATACAATGAAATTTGTATTTATTTATTTATATTGTGAGAATTAAATTAATTCGGGTATTCCTTGAACATCAGAAACGCATAATAATTTATTTTAAATATTATTGTTAAATAATCATGGATACCACTCTACAATTGCAAGGTTTTATTTAAAACATTTTGATGGAATTTGAATAGTCGATTAAGAAGTGATGAGTCAACAAAAAAAAAGGTTTAAAAACCTGTTTTGATTTTTATCGATTTTTCAAATCATTAAGATACTAAGAAAATAACACGTAACACATTGAAAAATTTGAAAATTAGGCAGGACTGTTTTATGGCTAAACCTCTTATTGAAATTAGGTAACGCACAGCTTAAATTGGGATCAACTACAAAGTTTTTTGTCGCAAACTGCTGACACGATTTGGATAAATATTTTTTCAGTTGTAGCTTAGATCTTACGAAATGACGTTAGGAAAAAACTTTTTATTTAAATTGAAGTTTTAGACACGATGGAGTGTTTATTTTATATTTCGTTTATTTCCGGCAACACTATTACATGACAGTCTGTATAGGCCTACCTTTTCTAAGTATCTTGTTCATGTCTTCATTTCCCTTATTAAATGAAATATGAAATTTAATGGAAAAACGAATATGCTTGCTAGCTTACAAGAGGAGTTTATAATGCCAGAGCTGCAAGTATAGTACAAAATAATTTAAATGATTCGGACTGGGCTGGACTTCCTTCCACTCCTCAGACAACATATAAGCAGGTACAAAGTAGAAAGCAAAACAGTTTTAGTTACCCTCTAAAAAAAGCAACATCAGCAAGTTCAGTTAATCAACAACCGATGCAGGAGAAATCCAGAATATTTGTAATCTCAACTGATGACGGTCAATAAATCAGAAACGCGTCTAGCACTACTACACCGACAGTTGAATTCATGATACCCTTTTTGCTGCTATTATTGTCAACCCTTTATGAGTGACAGATACATAGAATAATACAATATGGCTTAGTTAGAACACATTTTGTCAACATGGCTCCTTTCGAAGGTGATCTTACCACCCTTTGATACGACCCCTACTAAATCTTGATTGGTTAGGACTGAACAGAGAAGAAGTGACTACTTTGTGCTGCCTAAAGCATTAACCATTACAGCTCACTTTCCAATCTGGGCCATATAGGATGATAAGTCTACCCATAATAGTTTATGGTAGGTATATGGTTTTTCCTTTTGCTTCTTCCCTTCATATCAATAACATCCGATCCGTTCAACCCTACTTGAGATGATTGCTAGGAATATTTCTAGCTTTTTGGAAATATGTGGCTTGAAATTGTATTGGGTGGAATGGTTTCTCCTACTTCTTAATTGTGTTTCTTTATGTTCGCGAAGAAGGATGGCATGTCTCAGACCCTCATCAAGAAGGCATCTTTTGAGGGGCGAATCACTCACCGTGAAGCTGGCCAAACAGCCACACATAGTAAAAAAACCCTACTTCCAAGTTGTCAAAGTCAAACCATCCGGAAAGAAATGTCAAAGACTTACGGAGGACAAAAATTACCGCGAATATCACACGCCATTTCCATTCAATATTAACACGGTCGGGAAAAAAATATAGTCCGTCGAAATGATCCCGCCTCCTCCGCCGCCCCCGGTCAAAGAGTGCAGGACGAGAACCAGCTTCCTGTACACGGTCCTATCGGCACTCGATCAATTACAAACGCAACACGGAAGGAGTATTAAACTCGACGCTTTAATCAAATATATGGAGAGGCACTACAAGCTCGACGGTGACGTGAAAAGTCAGGTGCAAAGCGCTTTGTTTAACGCCGAACTGACAAATTTCATCGTCAGGAGGAACGATCGTTATTCTACAGTATCTCCTGCCGCCAATATACATCTGATCGGAGCCGATTGTCGCAAAAGAGAAATGAAAAGAATACAAGGTGTGTAAGCATGTTCCACTGCACAGGAATTGTGTATACCGCGGAGTTCCCGGTAAATCAAGATAAAATTTTTCCACTTATGGTGTCCAAACACTCTTAATATCTAAAGAGCAGGAATTACTGCTCCTTCTCTCTATTTCTATACGGTTTCACATATGGAAGACTATCGCTTTGTTATCCTGGTAAAGCCTCTCCTCATAAGGATGTCTTGCATTGTTTCCACCTCTTCAGCGGTCTTCTTCTGGCTCTTCTTCTGACTGGTATATTATTCTTTGTCATCGTTCATTCTGTTAACGTGCTTATTCCAGAATTTCCTTCTTATTCCAACACATTGTATCCCATCTTGAACTGCAGTTCTCACTTTTTCGTATAGTGATTTTCCTTACAAGATTCTTAGTGTTTTTATTTCCATTGTGTGGTCGTGGATCTGTGTAATCTTGTCTCCCCAGGTTAATATAGATATTGGTTCCTCCATATAATGTTGTAGGCATTCAGAAATATATTTGTGCTTGCAAATCCCGTTTCAAATTTCCATAGCTCGTTAAATTTAAACCCAGATCGTATCCAATTTCTAAATTGCATCTTATCGAGTATGTTCATGTTGTCATGCATTTGTTTTGTTGATTGATAAGGGAAAGAAAATAGCTGTTGTAGATTCTGTTGTAGTACACTATATGAAAATGGGTTTTCCCATCCTATTTTGTTATCCATTTATTCATTGAAAATGATGGAATGACGGAATCTCATTGTCTAATTCATCTATTTAAGTTTACTTCTTTAGTCAGTATCTGTGCTAACGTTAGATATTAATTGCATTAAATATAAAATAAAATTCATATTTTTGTCTTCTTAAGATAAATATTGAATCAATAGAGAAGTGGTTTTTCAGAAGTTAATTTTATTAGGTCTTTTTTAAATATCGCAGGTTAATTATGTTATCCCTTGCAGATGTTTTTAACTACTGTCCACTTCATGGTATGTCAAAGCAGCTAGGCATAGTCAGCTAATCCGCATTTCTCAATTTCTTAGCCTATTACGTTTTTTAGATAATTATTGATCCTCACCACTTCTGTCTTGTCGACATAAGAGTCACCGTACCTGTAAGATCCGAAGATTTGGTCTTCGTCAGTCAGGTGGCTCGGTAGAAAACTGTTTGGTGTTGATGTTATATTGTTTAACTATCGTTTGTCTCCTTTCGGTGTGGCTTTTGAAGTTGGAGATGTTGAGAGTAGGTTGGTTAACCTTCACTTCTACTAACTAGGTCTGATTTCCATGACTCTCCGGAACTCTGTCTACAAACTTAGCTGAATTTTCATTAATCGGAAATCGGAAGGATAAAGCTCGTTCACTAGGGTGTAAGTTTCTAGAATACTGATCTCTGAATGCGGTTATCACCTTTGTGGAATAAAACATAAAGGGAGGGAGCCGAGCAATATTTTCTTTCTCCATAATACACTTTATGATGTGGAGTGGTATGAAGGTTGGGCTTCATTTTGGAGATTCTCATGCCCAAATCTTCAAACTATTCCACACTTAAATATTGGCATCTTTTGGAGAGACCGACGCTTTCCGGTATAAGAATGAGGTTATCGCATTAGTGGACATCCGGGAAGGGAAGCTGGCTACTTGCTGATGTGGTAGAGAAAATTTTGGTCCTCATTGTTGCTACAGTCCTATAGTTGCTGTATAGCTTGGCTTTTGTCCGGGCGGTTGTCACGACTACGTTTTCAAACTATTCTATGTGAACATTTGCAATTATTAGAGGGAGCGAGCATCCTATCGTCTTTGCTGAACAATTGACTTTTTTATGGAAGCATTCATGCAGAATTTCAGCCGGCGCATTATGGACTTTTTGATTAGAAATTTCCCCTCTAGAAGAGTAGGGTCCTCTTTCAACTTATTCTTGATTATTTCAAAAGCTTCCTTTACTTGTACGCACATGCATACACTTTTTCACGTCCTTTTAACAGTTCACTTGAAGAGAAATACTGGACCAGTTTAAACGTCGTGAAAATGAAATAATAAATACAATTAATCAATCAAAGGTCTGTTTAACGTCACGCGTAAAAGGAAAAGGAGTCCAAGCCCTCCGGATCAGGGGCCTTCCAGTGGTGGCGCGATTGACACGTCGTGTTTCTGCATACCGAAAAGCGCCAATACTCCGAAAGCTCAAAGAAAGAAAAGGTCGCCGAAAGCAAAATCCAAAAGTCGAACAATGCCGAATAGGTCCGTACAGTTTAAGGAAGAACGGAGGAACGCTGACAGTTCCGTTGAGGATGCCCAGAAAAAGCTGCCCGACATCTGCCCTTGTCCGACGAACGATGAACGATCAGACGATTCTTCATCTTCAGATAGCAATTGAATTTTGGTTGTTAAATATAATTTTGCCGCGTTGGATGTTTTGAAACTTTTCTGCCTTGGTCCATCGCAACTAAGTATTACAATATATAAACCACTAGGGTGCTTTAGCACTTAGCTTTCCAATTAGCTACTAAACAGCTGTCACCGAGGGTGGAGTGGATTTATGTTGTATAATGTGAAGGATTTACGGTGGAATTCCAGTGGAATTACAAAAAACTAAAGCATCATAATGCATTTTGTGTTGCGATATATTTTTACTATCAGTGTGGTTTCGAATGAATATTTTTCAAAGAAAGGTAGCAATTGATTTATTCAAAAAAGTATTTTCGAATTTTTTATACAGTGTGAACTAAATTTGGTCTTTCTGGCCGGTGTAGCGTAAAAAGATTCTTTTTTTTATTATCACAGATCAAGCGTGCAAAAAGTGTTCAGACATTTGTCGGATTTTAGTCCAGTGTTTAAGAGCGGTCGAATGTTTTCGATAGATTTTAGCCATAGTATTTTGACGTTTGTAGTTTTGATGGTCACGTCGCACATCACTCAGTAAATATCCGTAAGCAATTGTCACTTTAAAACCTAGATTAATTCGCAGTTCTAAAGCTCGTTTTTTTTTTCTATATCCATAAAAATCTTTGAGCGATAGGTGAGGCCGATTTTTTCTGTAGGTCGTAAAATGCTCACCATTCTGAATCTTTCTTCGATGGATTTAATGTAGTTTGTCTGGATATATTTAATCAACACCACTAAATAACTTTTATTGTCTGAACATATCCTGAAATTCCTAGGAATTGCAGAGAACTTCAGGGCGTGTCCAAACATATATCTTTGATTTAGATTAATGAATGTCAAGACTAATGCCAATGCCAGTTCTTATCCATAGCGTGCTTATTTTTAATTAAGTGTTTCGATTCAGCGATTTGTTTGAACTAAGATACGGGGTGTTTCACGGTTGGTGGTTCGTTAGACGTTTAGTTCCATAAGCGACAAAGTGACGCCGCTCTATCGAGGTAGAATATTTTTAAGGCTGCGGCGTTGCCGCTTCTTGAAACAAGTAGCATCAAGATGGACATTTTAATTGGAGCACCATGTACATTATTGCATTTTCCGATCGGCTGATAATTTATGATTGTTTTTGCATATTACCATGCTGTACCTATCTTAAGTGGCTTTCGAGAAATTAAATATATTTTTTATTTTTCGAACCAAACGTTAACGTTAACGTTAAACGTTAGTTCTATATTATACAGGGCATGGGTCAAAACTAATGATTTGCCTAACCAAAACTAACCAAAACTAATTATTTGCCTATCAGATACAAAAAAGTGCATTAAAAAAAAACACTTTGTATATTATCACATATTCTAAAAGCAAACTAAATTACATTTCGAGTGATATATCACGTCCCTGTACTTAAATCGTCTGCTTTCTGAAATAAAAACAAGTTTCTCTGAAATTTGGTTCCTTTGGGATATTAAACGTATGTTAAATAATTTCTTTCCTGTTTACCAGTCCAGTTTGTTGGTTATTGATTGTGGTGCAAATTTTATAGATAAAATCCGTTCAAATCGGAACGAAACCAATATTCTATGGAAAAGGCAATCACATAATAGGCAGAACAATGAAGAATTGAATGAAACGAATCCTGATTTACAGAAATTAAACTATTTAGGTATAGGATTAATTTAATTTGCTCTTAGATATGTGATAACAAACACTTTTCGTAATTTTGTATCTGGTAGACAAATCGTTAGTTTTGACCAATCCTGTATAACGTACAACTAATTTTGAATTTAGGAGATTCTGTTCGATACCTCCCTAAAGGTCTAAAGTACAATCAACTATGAAATACCACTCTATAATCTTTCTTGCTTACAATAATCTGAAAAAAAAATAACGGAGCGGTATTAATAAAAAAGTTATACCCCGAAATACGTTATTTGATAAAATAGAAGAAATAAATCCAATAATTTTGTTATTCAAAATGCATACCAAAATAGTTAGTTTTTGTGGATATTGTGTATGATTTTCTCTTATCCATCGGGAATTATTGGTACTCCAATACCTATAATTTTGTTTATTTGCCGTACCATTTAAAGAAAATATGTCTTCATCACTGCCAATGTAAATTTTTCGTCATAGTTTCATAAAACTGTAGTCTGCGGTCGGGATCATCTTCGGGTAGCTCCTGTAGGATCCTGTAGGAATGTAACGTTGTACCGATGATACTTTTCTCTCTTTCACAAATGCAAAACTGTTCATAGAAGCTACACCCTCTAATAAAATGTTTAATATTGTGCTCTCGTTAGTTTCTGCACGACCTAGACGCAGATCTTTTTATGCCCTGTTTCTATAAATTTTCTATTAATTTTCTTTTAAGTATCTTACAGTTATATTTCAGTTTCTTTACTGACAGAAAAGAAATTGTGACTTTACTTTACTTGCTACTTACTGGTTACTAGATGAATTATGCGCGAAATGTCGAAAATGGATGAAAAAAATGAGTTCCATTGAAAAAAAAAAAGGAACTTGATATCGACATCCACCTTTTAACCCAGGCTGTATATTTTGCAATCCAATACCTTCCTCCTTATCATTATCACATTTTAAGCTAGAAGTAAACTATCGGAATACGGCTTTCACTAACATATTTAGGTATCATTTTACTACATCTTTATGGAAAAAATATTATTGTATTTAGCTTTTACAAAAAAAAAACATGCTCTAGAAGCATCAATCACTAAGAACTAGACATGTACTAACATCATAATCATAATAGCAACATAGATGGCTTGTCTTGTTTATGCTGAGTTGATTTAATTGTTTGATTCTCATAATTTTCTTTTTCCCTAAAAAGTCGTTAAGTTTCTCAGAAATGTCTAATTATGATTATTATAAAAGGAAATCCGGTATTAACTAGTCCCTCACTAAGATTTCGTTCATCAAAATGAGAACTTCGTCAATCGTAATTGTACACCTTTTGTATTGCGGAGATCAGTGAACTTTTTCGTGTGTGTTGCTACCTGGATTTATATAGTTTCGCACCAAAAACTGTGAAAGCAAGTGGTGCCATAATGGATATTGCTGCTCAAGGTATTTTTGTGTCAAAAACAGTTATATTCTTATCCCTTTATGGTTACCTTCAAATGCCCGTATTTTCGAATAGCAATATCAACGTAACGTATTGATAAAAAAATTATGTATATCATTGTTTTTGTTATAGTGCATTATATATCTAGGGACTCCAGTCACAGTGTATCCCGAGGTGAAAAACAAACAAACAAATAAACTTTATTCACCTGGTACATATGTTATTTTTTGCACATTTGGGGCCAAATTTATTAAAGTTGTTTACCAATCTTTTCTTTTCATCAATTTTACATTAAAAACAATACATAAAAGACGCACAAAAAAAGTAGGTTTTTTTTGTTGCAGATCAAATAATCAAATGCACCTTCACGAGGATGTACCTTTTCAATACTTGGTTAGCCAAGAAAGCAGACAAAAATTCGGAAACAATCCGTGAAATCTCAGCCGAGTTGACAGCTACGTGTCTCCTATCTTTGTAAGAATTTCATTGAGTATTGAAGGCAAACTTATAGTTCTAGATCAAAACTAGTAGGTAAGCACCAGCGATGATTGCTGGCAGAAATCCAGCAGGGAACCCGACGACTAAGAGCAGGCCAAATAGAATTTTGAAAGAGTTTGAAGAATGTAATGAACGATCTAAACGCCGCAGATTGTCGGATTTATTATAAGTAGATAGTTCAGGAATTAAATATTTAAAAGAAGATGAGTCCAAAACCCTAAGTTCGCAGATCAATGCAGACGAAATACTCTCGCTTATTGTTGAAGCTAAGTTGACCAGGTATCAATATACATTAAAGATTTTGTTAATTCAAAAACGGTCTAAAATGTCTTTCCTTCCTATCACAAAGTTCTGGAGGCAAAGGAAAAGTGCTATCCTTCGGATGAAAAAGCGTCAGAGACATCTGCAGAAGTTGAACTGCAGTCACTTCTGGATCACACGGATAACCGGATTCTTGAGTTAGAAAAAGACGTTTTGTCAACTCTTCCACTCCAAGGAGACTTAATGTTAATAGGAAAATGCGGGTTTGATGGTAGTTCAGGGCATAACGAATACAAGCAGAAGTTTTCTGATGCAAATACCAGCGATTAAAAATAGTTTTTTTATTTACATTAAAGTTTAAAATTATGTATTTATCTTGGAAAAGTTGAAATATGCACAAAAAAAAACATATTTAAAATATCCCATTAGAGTGAGAATTTCATGACCTCATTTCCCATAAGACGGAAGCACTGTGCAGTAGCTAGAATGACGCGTTAAACATTTGACACCGTCGCGGTGATAAAGACGGGGCGGTAGGGGGCGAAACGAACGTATATAGAAAAAACCACGACGAACACATGACAAAAAAAGGATCTTTTAGAACGAAATTGTGTCCCGAAATCGAATTCGAAACATATTTACCAATGGCCGTTGCCAGCAAATATTGTTAGACAAAATGTAATGCGAACACAAATCTAATCTTTGACGTTTCTATCTCGGCTTTTTATCCCGGAAAACAGACACGCCACAACGAAATATGGTCCCCGGATAATTTAATTTAAAACGGTATCGTATTTTCGTCCCGTTACGTTTTTTCGCCGCCTGAGGGAGGGGCGGCGCTGGTCGGTTCAAAAAAATATCTGTTGTCCATAAATAATTAAACAACGGTGGACGTGTTGGTTATTCGAGTCTTCCCAACACGTGCAGATCCAACATCCAACAATAATTCTGTTCATTTTTAAAGTCTCCGTTTTCTCTAAATCAAATCAATTTTGAAGGTCTCGATAAACTGCTGATTAACTTCTAAGGTTTCAGTTTGCTGCCGATCTATTCTCAAAGTTTGAGTTTGATGATAATATACATATTTTCAATTTCTCAGTTTTTTGCGAAAATCAATCAATTTCCTGCCTATCGATATTCAAAGTATCGGTATACTAATAATATATTTTACCGCTG